CCCCAAAACCCCAAAACCCCAAAACCCCAAAACCCCAAAACCCCAAAACCCCTTTGATATTTTATATGATAGAATTAAATTAATGTCTATTCCTTCTTACAATTTCTACCCTAAACCTTGGGAGAGGAGGGTGAATATGGTACGTTAGAACTTACCACAACCCTTAGAAGCTAACTTTACCGATCTAGACTTACATCAGACGTAATCCAGTAGTCCCAGATTTAAGCTACATGAATCTTGAAAGTCGTTTCCCTCGAAGTATTTCGACCAAGGCTTCAGTTAAAGATAACTTGAAATAAATAAGTTTAAAAGAAATCCAAGAACTGTTAAGAAGAAAAGCTTAAACAAGACTTTGAAGAATGTTCGAAAGAAGCTGTTGCCAACAAAGAAGCCGTGGTTTGTAAATCTTATCAGAAATTATCTAATTTTAGATGAAGGTTAATGCCCCATTTGAAAAAGAGACCTCCCCTCAGATCAAGCTGTTTAAGGTAGATTCCTTTGTTTCAGGGGATATCTCCCCAGGTCTGAAAGATATCAATGGGACTAATGACCTTCCTTATTGAGTTTGGGATGAGTCACCAAAAAGAAAGAAGATTGAGATGAAGTTAAAGACTGATAATTATTCCAACTTTTGATACGATAATTCAAAAATGTGGAAAAGGATTAAAGTAATTTGGATATTAATCTCTAGAGAATTGCAAAGGACCAGAAATAACTTTATCCCATTCCCTACAGGAAGAACCAAAAGGCTTCAAATAGTAAAACCGCATTTATGGAGATTCAAAAGGAAAGAAGTAAATTTATTTACGATTACATCTAGCCAACCTTGGAAGAGCTTATCAAGAAAGACTCGTATGAGAAGTTGCTAGTAAATATACAGAAAGATATCCAGAACCCTCACGACCCATTTAAGATCCAGAATGAGAAGTTTGATGCTTATTTTAAGAAGAATTAGGCCAAATTTCAACTTGATTATTCCCAAAAGGGGTTTTGGGGTTTTGGGGTTTTGGGGTTTTGGGG